CCGCCGTGCCCGCCCCGTGCCCCCCTTCCTCCCCACCAGGAGTGCCGCGACGAGTTTGAGGGCGCCTACGCCAAGGACTTTGCCGATGCCGAGGAGGCGCGCGTGCTAATCGCGCTCGGCTACACGCTGCTGGACGTGCGCTCGGCGCTCGAGGTGGAAGCGGCGGGCAAGCCGCGGGCCGCGGTGCACGTGCCATACCTCATAAGCACGCGGAGATACGACGCGGAGCAGGTCAGAAAATATTCTGGGCTGGGGTGAGAGGGGCCGGACAGGCGCCTGGCTGGGGCGGCCCGCGCACGAGGCCCACCAGCAGGCCGCGCCGGCAAGCCACACTCGGCCAGCCCACCCACGGCGCGTGTGACTCTTCGAAATCCCTGTCCCCTCGATGCCTCCCCATACTAACATATGTAACACCTCCTCACGCGCAGGGCAAGGCGGTCGTGACCACGCGCGTGAACGAGGGCTTCCTGTCGGAGGTCGCCCGCCGCTTCCCCGACCGCGAGTCCGCGCGCCTGCTCGTCGCAGACGCGGACGGGCGGCCCGGCAGCGGCGCGCAGGAGGCACTAGAGTTGCTCGATGACAGCGGATACGCGTGCCTGGTCGGCCTGGTGGGCGGCATGCGGCGGTTCATGCGGGTCTTTGACATGAAGCTTGCGCGGCGGCCGACGCGGGGCGCTTTCGTGGAGGACCCCTGGTCTGAGGGGTCGAGCCAGGGCATGTTCGCGGGGGAGAGCTAGCTAGCGCGGCGGGGCGAGGGCGGCGGCGCGGGCCGGGGGCGGGGGTGGCGGCGCGGACGCTTGGGAGGGCGCTGGGCGGGCGCAGCAGAGGGTGTGGGCGCAGGGCGCGTCCGACAGTCATTCGTTCCACAGTTTTTGACATTCGGGAAATGACCTGATCCTGTGGTGGCTCAAGCCAGATCAGAGGGCAGCACACGCAAGGGCAATAATGCGAGCGTGTGTGCAAGGCCAGAGCTTCCCTTCGCACCCACGCGGTGTGTCGTGTGACACGTTGCAGCTGTCCACGCGACCACACGCGCAGCGGCGGGGCATTGTGAGTGCGGTTGTGCTGCGTTTGAGGTGGCCTTTCTGGTGAGAGTGGCCCGAAATCTGCCACCCTGTGAGCTACTGATTATGTAATAACTTCATCGCAGCACCTTATGCAGCGCACGCCGTATCAAAGCATTGAATTGAAGCGGACACCGCTGAACTGGCTATCAATGTGAGCAGTTGACCAACTGAGATTGCAATCAACCTGCAGCGCGGTGCCCTGCATGCACTCTGTGTGCATGGATGTGTGGAGTTTGCCCCCATGTGCATGGTTTGCTCTCGCCTTGCCTGTTTCAGGCGGCATGAAGGGGAGCGCGGGCAACACCAACAGGGTGGCCAGGTTGTGCTGCATTGATGAGTTGGCCGCGTGGTGCTCCACTTTGGTCATGCGGCATGCGAGTTGGCTATTTACAGATGTTGTTGAAGTCAGTGACAAGGTCCATTGCTCCAAACTGGTGGCGCCAGCAGCATTGCGGTTCGCTTGCGGAGACTCCAGGTGGGTGTTGCAACCGGTGCGAACACTGTACGCGAGCGCATGACCGCATTGATAAGTATCATATCATCTTGAATGCCCTGGCACGTCGCTGTCGACGCTCGCTGCAAAGCGCACGCGTACGTGCGCACGTCCCCTGTCGCCAAACCGCCCGCCCCCGCCGCGCGCACGCAGGCCGCCCGCTCGCCCCCTCCAATGGTGCCCCCGCGCCGCCGCGCCGCGGTTACGCACGCCGCCGCCGCGGCGGCGCCGGCGCCCGCGGCGCTGACCGAGCTGCTCTCCCGCTACATCGCCCTCTGCACCCGCATGCTGCCCCGCGCGTCCCCCGCCTTTGTCGATTCGACCCAAATAATGATCCGGACGCAGGCCCTGCAGCTGATGCAGGACATGGAGCGCGCCGGCGACGCCGCGCCGGGCGCGCCGCTGCCCAGCGATCTGGTGGCGGGCCTGCGGGGGCTAATAGAGGGCTCAGTGACTGATGCAGTCATCCACGTCGGCTGGGCGATAGGGGTGGTGCTGGACAGAGAGCGCGACCCGCTGGACAGCCCCAGGGCCACGCAGGCGCGAGGGGCGGCGGCTTCCCGGCAGCTTCCCGGCGGATAGGCGGCGGCTTCGGAACGGCCGGGCGGGGCGGAGCGCGCTTTGACGAGCGAGGCTCAGGGGCGCGGGCGCCTGGGTCCCTCGGGCGGCCGCATTCGATGGCCATCAGCCCCGCCCATTCGGCAGGGCGCGGGGCGCACCCTGCGCCTTCAACACGCACCCTGATGGCGCCGCGCCCTTAGAAGCCCCCACGCCCCTCATGCCCTGGCCCTACACCCTACCCCAACCCCATGTTCCCGCCTCTTATCCCCCCCC